TGATTGATAAAAAAAAAAGCTAAAGATGTTTATTTTTTTCTCATCATTGTGTCCTTGTTGGGATCTCTTGAACACAAACAGTATCAAACAGAGCTGTTGTGACTCTTCAGCCCCATTGGACTGAGATACACAGCGGAGAGAAGATCACTTTGAGATGTGAAATCGAGGGTGGAGACGACGCTGAGTGGGAGTATGAGTGGAAAACAAGCAACTCATTCAAACCTCCAAAGGAAAAGGAATACAGTTTTGGACCTGCTGATACAACAAACAGTGGAAACTACAGTTGTAAGGGCAGAAAAAAAAGTGACCAGTCTCCAACAGGTTGGAGCGATCCCATCACATTAACGGTTTTATTCAGTAAGTAACATTTCTTTTATATAACATTATACTGTACTATCAGATATTCCATCATTACATGGTTTTATTTCTTTGAATAATCACTTTTCCAACAGGTTCACCCCAGCCTGTCCTCACCGTGTCTCCACTCTGGCTGAGTCCTGGAGACTCTGTGACTCTGAACTGTGAGGTTAAACACCCATCAGCAGGATGGAGGTTCTACTGGTATGAAGCTATTCCCAAACTATCTGACAACTCCTACAACTACCAGCTGCTATCTGGAAGCAGAGATGGAACTGAAAAGTATTCCTTCATTGTTCATGGACAGACACACACAGCAGGATATGTGTGCAGAGCTGGAAGAGGAGAAATGAACACTCCTTATAGTAAACCAAAGTTTGTCTGGTCTGGAGGTCAGTTTGTTTCTGTCTTTATCTTGAGATTAATATCTTTATTCAGTTTTGATCTATGAACAACATAGAGTTTCTTCAGTACTTTTGTCTGTATTGTACAACAATCCAAGAGCAAGATAGGAATCGATCACGATGACTTCATGCTCTTTCTTTCCCCTTCCTTTTAGTGAACAACTTTTCATTGAGTTGTAAGCGTGTATACATACATATACATTCTCAAAATAGTTCAACAGAAAGCTCAATATCTACACTCGATTATCAAAATAAATACACAACTTAACTTGGAGCTAATGTGCAGGTAGTTTGTAAATATATCTTCATCTGTCTAAATAGACAATTTAAAAGCATCATATATGTGGTGTGTGTGTATCCACAAGTGCATATGCATGAGCCTACAGTACAACATACACAGCCAAATGCCAAACTCGTTTCCTTGGTGAGTGGTTGTTGTTGTTTTTGGTAGCATGAAAAACACTAAAAGGAAGATTATTAGAGTCTATCACTTAAATAATCGTTCAATAAAAACATTTTACTTTGTATAATTCAGCATCTTATTGCTAATTGCTGACTCTCACATGTGAGGGCTTGTTTGATTAAAATAATGTTGGTCAGTAATCAGTGGTATGTACACACTATATGAAAAATCTAATTCAGGCATTCCTGATAAAACAGAATATGGACTGATGGAAAAAAAACAATGCTAATCTGTCATATCTTTGAAAAATGGCAGGTCAAAGAAAGTCTTTCAATTTACAGACCGAATTCCTTGGTTGGATATCTACATTAACTATAAAGTCCAATGGCAGCTAACGGTCTGGGCTTTGTTGAACCTTTTGTTTCTTTCTTTCTTTTTTTAGATTTGCCTTCATCAGCATCTCTCACAGTGAGTCCTGAAAGAGTGCAACACTTCACCTCTGATTCTGTCTCACTGGAGTGTAAGGGGAACTCTACTCAGTGGAGAGTGAAGTTTCAAGAGAAACTCACAAGAAATAATGTGTACTGGTGTGAGTCTGGATCAGGGGAGTTCAGCAACGCTGTCAACATCACTAAACAGAGTATGTTTTTATTACATTTCTTCTTAAAGTTTTTATCTTTCAGCATCCAAGTATTCAATTCAACATCATTCAGTTCCACGTTATCTCCATCGACATGGAGAAGTAAAAGAGCAGCGCAGTGTGGGAGAGTTTACTCTCTTAATTAGATAAAAGCAAAGATTAAGGTCTGAGTGTATATCATTATTAAATACTGATCACATTTGTAGACAGTTGCTGTTCAAACACATTTGATGCCAAAGTCTTAAACATAAGAAGGAGTAAGGTGTACACAAGATAACACATCAGATTAATCATCACTTTGAAGCATTGCTGTAAAAAAAGAAGAAATATATTCTCATCATTCTGTGTCTGCTAATTTTCATGTTTGAACCTGATGACCTCTGACTGAATCCTCTTTTCTTTAACTGTTTTACAGAGTCTGAAATTATCCTGGTGAGCCCTGTCCATCCAGTGACTGAAGGAAGTTCAGTTAGTCTTAGCTGCAGATTGAGAAGCTCAGATATTGTTTCCAATGTGTTCTTCTATCTGAATAACAAACTCATTCAAAATGATACCAGAAAGGAGCTTAATATCTCTGCTGTGTCAAAGTCTGATGAGGGCTTCTACAAGTGTCAGACCTCAGGGAGAGAGTCGTCTCAGAGTTGGATGTCAGTAACAGGTGAGTGGGATAGTCAGGGAGATACCCCGTGCCCTCTAAAGTAATGTACATACTTTCATGCACTAATGTTAAACAGACAGTCTTGAAGTAACATCAAGCCGGCTTAGAGGCCTGTGTTAACATTAGCTTAGCATGACTAGCAACCAGTACTTGGGTGTTAATGACCTCGGACAAAATCATTTCAAACGTTTTATTTTCAAGCAACAAAAAAACTCATGGACCTTTTTTTTTTTTTTTTTACATTAAAACACTTTATTCAGTGTTACACATGTCAAATATATCTTGTTAGTCCTCTGTTGCTCCATATCCTGGCTTGCACTCCTCTTTCTCAACCAGGAACTGCCAGACAGAGCTTCTTCTTCTAATGAATTTCTGGCAGGCTGAATGCTACAAGGCGTAATGCTGCCCTCTGCTGTAATTCAAATGAATTGATTCACTTTGGGAGCAATTCAAAATAGCCCTCCCAACTAGCTGAAGTCACTTCCAAAAGATAGCCAAACAGATAGCCTGCCTTTGGCTTATATGGGGGTGTGCCAAGTGGATGGCGCCAAGTTAGGTAGAGGTGGAGGGATGTTTAGGTTGTTGAGAATAATTATGATTTGTGAAAAAAAATGGTCTTTTGAGAATGTACTTAAAGGGATACTTCACCCATTTGCATTTAGCTTTGTATCATTAGAAACCTGGTAGTATTTTTGAATGGTCGTGCATCCCGCCCTCATTTTCCCCTGAGATTGGAAATCTTTGTATTTTTAAGTCTGAAAAGGAGCTTCCAGTGACGCAAAATGACAATTTTTGCGTCACTGGAAGCTGTTGCGGTTAGCGGGGTGAAACTACAACGCTAGTTCCTCATATTTTGGTATTCTGGACATTGGTTTAGCGGAGTAAAGTGGTTATCGCAAAGTGAAAGTCCTTCTTTTTCTGTGGACTAAAAAAACATTTTGAACTGAAATTTAGAAGATCATATTGCATATTTTGTTTGTTTGAGACTTTTTGTTCATTGTGAATTCATAGGGGGGTTAATTAAAGGGATATTTTTGTTAGGGTAGCAGCGCACGGATCAACAACAGACGCGTTTCAGCACAGAGCCTTTATCAGCGCTTTGTTTGTCATCTATTTTCTTTTTGTGTTTGAGCTCTTTTATTTCTGTTTTGAATTAGGCCTATCCTAGAACCCACAATGCAACAAGAAACATTTACAAAAATGTGGACTACAAAACGATTATCTATAAAAAAAAATTGTAACCGATTATTATTTAATGAACAAGTACTCGGGTACCCGAGTACTGGTTTGCGCCCCTAATTTCTACTACATATATGACCCAATGTCAATACAGATTCATGTTTCAATGGGTGAAGTATCCCTTTAACTGAAATGTATTTTGATGTGTTTTTAGCCTTTTTGTAGATGTCTTGTGCTTCTTGCAGAACAGGTAATACTTTCCAGAGAGTTAACTTATTTCTAACCTATTTGGTCGGGGTGCCAACTCCTACATAAGAGGAGGCTTGAGGGCCTTGCAGGTTGATGGTGGTTGGAGGGGCAAAGTGTTGGAGAATTGTTGACAGTAACCAAAGAGTGTGCCGCGCTGCAAGGGCCCACGGTGGCATTGTTTAGCGCTGAGTCGTGTCTTTAGTTTGTCACTTTTTACATTCTGTTATTTACTTATTTCTCGCTAGTTTTATTTGTTATTTTTACATTTTTCTCCAGGCCTGTACTGTACATATTGCTGCACTTTTTTTTTTTCATTGTAAAAAAATTCACTTGGACTGAATTTTTGATTTTTTTTTCTTTCTTTAGCCTAAGCCACTTTCCCATCCTTACAAAGATACAAATTACTGAATGATTTTATGTAAACCATGTTTTGTCTGAAAAAGAAAAAGGTCAAATACACCATCTAGTTGGACGTAACCACACTTTAAGTGATTGACCTTATTGATTCAATAATTTAGTGTTGAATGAGTAATTTGGTTAAATCCTGGATTGCGATAAAATGATGTATTCATTGTAGACTATTTTCTTTACACATGTTTTTTTTTTGTCTTCACCGTTGCTTGAGACAACATGACAAAACATTTAATTATCATTGTCTATCATCTTAAGAAGTGTTTTATAAGTTCATTAACAGTTATTTGTTATTAATTGTAGCCGTGTCCAGGCTTGGGAACCCTTCATATCCTGTAATTCTCGTGATTGTCGGGCTGATTTGTGGAGTAGTACTTATAATTCTTCTGCTCCTGTTGTATCGCTGCAGGCAGTCAAAGGGTGAGACCTTTCTTTTACTTCTAATTGTTAAATGCTTTATTTATATTAAATATAGAAATGCACTGACGAAGACTAGCAATGTGACTTATATAAAGTAAAAAACAATGTAACAGCAAATGTCTTTTTCACAGACTCATGCTTCAGGAGGTAGGTTCAACTCTCTCTTTACTTAATTTAAATATAGCAGTAATTAAAACCATGGTCCTCAATGTAATGTTTGTCAATCCTGCATGTTTAAGGCCAAGCCAGTCTGAGAGTAACAACCAAGACTCTGCCAGAAGTCATGAACTTTACCAGAATGTGGCTCAACCTGATGTATACTCTACTCTCCTACACGGTAAGCATTTCATCTTGATATTGTGTATTTATACACACAATTTTAGAAATTAATGTAGCCTTCAAAATATATGAATCCAAAATGGGATGAAAGTGACTTTTGCTTGGTTTTGACTTCTCTATAGGTGATGCCAGTGTCTACGAAACACTGAAAATCTCTGAGGACAACAAGGCTGGTACTGTAGTTTTTTAAGTTAATATACACTGAATGACATATTTCAAATTTCAGGAAAACATGTCACAAAAGAGTTTCATGTTCGTCATGCATTTGTCTATTTGAACGACACTTGTCCTTACAAACTTTGATGAACAAATACTTGCTTGATTTTCATTTTTCTAAAGGGGATGATTACGTCAACCAATCAGTAAGGCACTGAAGACACTGAAAATGGTACAGTGTATACCTTTATATTCATGTGCACTCCAAAAATGCCCAATGTAATACAGTTGAAAACATGAATATATATTTATTTCTTTACTGGGTTTTTTGGAATAGAGGCCAGACGTCTTAAATCAACAGCAAATAAATCAAAATAATGTTAGTTGGATTCTTGTTTCTAGTTTTAAAACGACAGTCTTTGAGTTAAAAGACATGCATAACTATATACAGAAGCCACTTGGCCATCTGATTACTAGAGAGGACCTCTGAGACATATCTGGTCTGAATGTTTTTAAAATAGATATTTTGTGCAAAGAAAAGTGTGGGACTACACGGACATAAAAGACAAAACCTTTGGATAATTTCAATACAAGCAACTGTATACTGTGGACTAACATGTTTGTGTTTACTTCCCCAGTTCTTTGAACACACAGTTTGTAAATTCCGCCGCCAGGGGACTACCACAAAAGACGACATCAAGGCTGGCGGGGAATCATGGGAGTGATTCTCTCTGCTACTCTGTCCCCAACCCTGATGAAAATGAGCTAAGAGTTGACCGTAGTGAAGACAAACGAGTGAAACCGACCTGAGGAAGACAATATGTTTACCGACGATGTATCCAAGTCTGATTTACATGAAGTTTTTATCACAGCAGCACATACAGCAACAGTACGGTGTTTCCATGGCAACGATATACATGTCGTGTCTGTCATGGAGGCTCTGTCATGGTGGCCACCACGACAACACGGCTTCTGTTACTATAATATTAAGGATTTCTCTGGCTTTGATAACTGTTGGAAATATTTGCGGGAATGTAAGTACTAGACAAAAAATATATTTGTAACATAAGTTTAGTCAATTTTATATTATTTAGATATTTAAGTGTAAAAATTCGCATAACTTTCTACATATTGTATATTTAAAGGAGCTGATTAAATTACATAAATTATGTTCACATCGTTACTTAACATGCAACTCTGCTTTCCAACTATCACAAATGTTCAAGGGTTAGTACAGTTCATTTGTTTTCTGGTTAAATAAGAGTGACAGAATATGTATTACATTACTCATACCAGCTAAAAGCTTACAATTATTACCAGAATATTCTTGACTATTCTTATTTTTAGAAGTATATGTTTTATTTTGTCATTTATCTGTCAATTTTGTGTATTAAACTCTGGATACGAGTTGTTTCAGCTGCTTCATACTGTATATTTTAGCTTAAAGTCGGCTTCTTTGTCAGTGTTGGCTTCCAAAGATCCCGGATGGACATCAACATTACTTTTATATCTGTGATGACCTGCTCTCAACCAACATAATCATTTACATTATAGTTTATTGAACCGTCAGTAATTTGTATCTTAATTATTTCATAGTTATGTATTGTTAAAGTATTTCTGCTGTAATGTTCCTAATAAATGTTTTAAACAGGAACAACAGTTTCTTTTGGTTGTTCTTGCTTTTTGACCAACCAGCCAATAAGAATAAGGTCACATCCACCCCAGATGCAGTTCTGACCCTCATCCCTGTGGTGTCTGTTGTCCCTCTCTCTCTTTCCCATATTTCCCATCTATCTTCAGCTTTACTATCTAATAAAGACGAATGCTAAAAATCATCCTTGAAAGAAGTTATGGTTGTTACTTTTAGTCGTTATCTGTCAAAGACGTGAAGTTCTCTACCGTTGAACATATAGAAATACAAATTATTAACAATTTCACCTTTTTACCATTGCAGCTTTGTGGCAGAAAATAACCAAGGTCCTGCATCCCATGAGCAGCCATTTTGTTTTCTTCTTGACTTGAAAAGCAGAGCTTTAAATGTTACACATTATTGGTAGTTTCCTTTTAGTAGTTTACTCAATCAGTATTTACAAATTACCCCCATACAAGAATATATAAACGTTCTATTCAAATTATGAATAAAATACGTTGAGGGATTAAACTTGTTGAAAAGGTTTCGGCTGACTCTGAAGCTTTCTATACCTTCTCTTTTTAACATCAAATATACTTGAAGTCGACCCTTTAACTACTAAGTTCACTTCACAGAAACAGTTTCAAACATTTC